CGGGACGGACTCGAGCCGCGTTCGAAGTATTGAACAAATCACGAAGCGATACGTAACAGTGATATTTTTAAGAAAAACGCTGTTCACCTTTACTTTAGAACGTCTGAAGAATATTTACTAATTTTTCGGACCCGAAATAGTAAGTAATTTAACCGTGACGGCAGTAATAGTAAATAATAATAATGATAATAGTAAATAATAATAGTAAATAATAATAAATAATCTACACATACAAAATGATGTATATCTTGGATTATAGATATATTTTGCATCGCGTTGAAGTTCATCGCACTGAACAAGATTATTAATGAAGATCTTCAACGGTCTGTTAATTTCGTAAATAATTGTGTTAGAAAAGTTCGTCACAGGTGTCTATCGATAAATTTCCAGCGCAAGAGGTTGAAGGTGCCTTGCGTTCGCACGCCGTCTTGTTCATTTTTATTACTGAAACTTCTTCAATAAACAGTCTTTTTTTAAAATATAATTTTCTTAATATAATTGCTAGTTGCACACGCACTGTTGCGCTTAAAGAATCCAAGATCCTGCAGATATAGAGCTCTTCGAGCTCTATTCGAGCTCTTATCTTTCGTAAATGCATTAATAATCCTGTGCACTGTGGATAGAGTTCTGCACTTTTTACATCAAATTCAATTGTTCTGCTATCGAAATTTGACTAGATACACAACAAATATATATTTTCATTTATGGAAATTGACTGACGACACAAAAGCACAGAAAATGGTATTCATCTGTCCCAGTAATTGCCCGTTTGGGGAGACACAAATCCAGATAAAGAGACGCTGTGCAGCGTGATCGTTTAAAGAATGAAATATCGATAGAGCAACTTACAGATGATGAGCAGGATCGATGGTCGTTCCTCGTCGTCTTCGTACTTGCCACTGAGGACGAGAAACCATTGCAAGGGATCCACCCTTATCCCGTATCTACGGCAAAACGAAGGAAAAAAAATGCTTGTAAACACTTTGAAAGAAAAAGGACACTCCATCCGTTATTATCGCACCAGTATACCGTCCCCTGCTCCCCGCGAGCACCCTTCGCGTCCCCTGCTTGTCCCCACGTAGCCCACCCCGAGGCTTTATCGCCGAAGTCACGTTAAGCGAGTGGCTACGCTGCAACACGGGTCGAAGGGCAAAGGCGTCGTTATTACCGTCTGTCTTCGACGCGATACTCTTCGCCCGGAGCCCTAGAAAAAAAGCACAGCGAACGAAGAAGCAAAGAGGAGCCCAAATAAAAAGTCCCGGGGGCCCCTTTGATCCCTTTGTTCTACGGGCAAATAATAAACGTCGCCCTGTCCGAGCCTCACCCCCCGCCTATCTGACATGCAAACGAGGTCGATGGACGGAGACGAATTTCTCTGAACGCGATCCCTATGTACGGTTATTTTGCGGATACATGAATAAACAATATCCTCAGTTTGGACGGTCGCTCATGCATCCTTTTGAAGTTCTTGGTAAGTCGATCGCGCCAGACGCTCGCGATTTTAACTCGGGGCTCGTTGTCTCTTCCGCAGGTCACTGTCGACGAGCTCTTTCATACACGTAGTTCATGTGGAACGCTTGGCAAACCGCGAGATTCTGCGCTTCCGACCGCTATTTCGTCGACCGCGTTCGATAATTATAATTACCGCGATTTTTATTTGCGTCAGGATAAAGAATGCAAATGGAATTCGTGTCACAGATAATAACTGCAAATTGAAACCTACGCGGAAACGTTGGAAAATTTTTGTTAGGGATGATTCGTCCGCAGATTTGAAGATTAAAACTTCCGCTTTACAATGACATATCAAAATTTGATTTACGATTTTTTTGTGTGGTTATATCGAGCTTTGAAGTGGAAGGCTGCAACGTCAATTTTTTAGTGGTATAAAATACATAGCGAGGATTTTGGGTAAAAATGGTACGTGTAAAAACCTACGTGCGAAAGCGCGGGGAAATTTTTGTCTGGATTGAAATTGCCACGATATTGAAGATTGGACTTTTCTCTTTGCAATCACGTATCGAAGCTTGATGTGCGATTTTTTTTAGATAGTTTCATATAACAATAACGAGAGATAAGTTTATACGTGGAAGTCCGACGTGTTGCATAGTAGATAGTACAGCTATCATTGAAAGCTCAGTAAGGTGACTAAAAAAAATCGTAAACCAAAGTTTTAGGGCTCGTTATAAAGGGAAAGCTTCAATCTGCAAGAATCCCTAAGGTTCAGTTATGACAAAAAATTTCTAATATATTGAAAAGCCCACTGAACAGCGACCAATGTATATTGTTTCATAGCCAAGATAGGATTGAGTTTACTTAATGTTTTCAAGATTTCCATCACAATATAAAGAAGTCCGAATAAAAAGAATTCTGTCAACAAATTTCTCACAGAAAACATTTCCACAATATCAGTAACGGTAAATGAAAAATTCAGAACCATTCTGACCCATTCGGTAATCCTAGTATTAACGTAGACAAACGACTTATAACTCCACAAAATTAATATTGACACCAGCGAAAGGCTCAGTTTAATCAGCGGAATCGCTGAAACAAAGATCGTGCTACTTCTGGAAAGAATCCAGTTACGGACCGTTTGAATGCTCGGTGCTCGAAGTAGATAACTGAGAGCGAGGAAGCCAGCAAACAGAAGTTTATAGGTGCTCGACATCGAGTGTAGCAAGTAGTAATACTCCTCGAATGACTGCTGTACCTCTGACCCAGTGTAGCACGGCAGGTCCACGGAGAAGACAAAGGGGAACTCTTCGGGTCTATACAGCCCGACAGATTTTGATTGGTTCTGTGTGGACGGATTTATCGCGCGCCATCGTATCAATCGAAGCCATCAGGCACGTTTGTTGCACACGAGCGGCGTCCACCGAAGACAAACGAACTACATCGGTGGAACGAAGGAAAAAAGGGAGGGTCGGGTAACCGACACTAATGGCTTCGAGTCGAACGCGTCGACTAACGATGATAAACGAGGCTTATAGGTGAAGTAATTAAAGTATTTGAAGTGGGCGCGGTTCGACACGAGCGAAGGATATTTATTGGGACGCAATTGTCGCGTCGGCTCGTTCCGTCCCTTTTTCTTCCTCCCCCTCGCTCACCTGCCCAGTTAACTCTCCCTCCCCCCTCTCTCACTCTCTCTCTCGCTCTCTCTTTGTCTCCCTCTCTCTTTCTCTTTGTCTCTCTTTTCCGTCTCTCTTTGTCTCTCCGCCGCTGTTTTTTCCTCTCGTTGCGACACAAACGCAATCAGTCACGTTGACGCAGTCCACGATAATTGAAGAGCGAGCCGGAAAAATCAAACGTTTATAATTGATAGCTACTGTGCTCTCCATGCGGTTGCGAGCCAAAAAGTGATTCGAAAGGGACCAGCAATCCCCTTGTATTACCGGCCGGTAAATCACCGGTCGCCGCCGCCGCCTGGGCGCATATATCTTTTGTGCAGTTTCGCCGATTGAATTGTTAAACACTTTGAAAATCGATTCGTCACCGTCCGGACGACTCGCCGGATAACGCATGCTAATTCCTTTCGACGTTTCCCGCGGTTCCGCCGGGACGATCCGCGGGAGCGGCGCCATTTCAATCCGCAAGGAATCTGGTTGCTACTTGCAAGTGGAAATAATGGGCCGCGCGACGATGAATTACCGAATTCGGCCGGCGAAACGTTTGAGCTGCACAATAAAGACTGGTGTAACAATGGCGTTAAATCTCGAGCTTGACATCCGGCACAATGCCGACCGGTCCCCGGTGTAACCAAATGAAGTCATTCTTCGCGAAGCTAACCACGCTGTGTGTCAACGGTTCATAGCCGATCCTGGCTGCCCGGTCCACTGCAGAAGGATTAATTCCACGCGATACAATGACTCCAAAGTACACATAGCAATCCGCCGAGAGAGTTACGACACTTCGCGAATTTTCTAACACTTTTCTCGCGGGAACCCGGCCCGCGCAATTTCGAAGGAGAATTCATGGACGAGAAAGGCTCGAAGAATGAATTCTCCGGTGGTGTTAATTAATATTTCGGATGATGTATTATACCGTCCAGCACCGCTTTCTTTTCCTTCGAATCGGCTAGCCGTTGCAATCCCTTTCGGAAGTGTGTAAGATACCGTGATTATTCTGTACAGGTTTGATTTTCCTCGTATTTTGCTCAAACATAAATTTTTATTATAAGTAAAATTTTAATTGTTATTATATATAATATTTTAATTAATATTATTAATAAAATTATTATAATAAAATTTTATTAAATATATAATTTAATAAAGTGTATATACTTCGTAACCGGTTAGCTGTTTTTGACGAGTATACTCGTCATAAAGAAGTGCCAACATTTTTTTCTATTATAGATATAGGGTAAAGGTGCTGAACGTGAGACACGTGTTATTTTTTAAATCACAATGTTCGATTAAAAACGCTTTCGTTACAAGCAGATACACGTTTAAAAGTTAAAATCTGTATTCTTTTACCATTTACTCGTAATGATATAATTTTCCCTTCGTAATGAAGGAAAAACTAAAAGTATGTAAATTCACAGATTTGAAAAATGAGTTCCAAAATATGAAAGTTAGTTTTGCTTTTTCGGGAAATTTATTCGACTGCCTTTTTTATCGGATGCCAACAAGCAGACGAAACAACGAAATATGCGAGTTATTACGCTACGATGCTTGGCTACGAAGTAAGCTAGAGTCTCATATCAGGCGAGGCCCTAATATTAGACAACTTTAGCCTACTCGTTAAAAACAGCTAACTAGTTAACGAAACTTTCCGGTTTCGGAGATCGCCTCGGGGAAGGCAGAATAATCGAGCACTCTAATTTTCTTTTAAATACCGCCACTATTTCCGCTGCGCTCTTTTTTCCCCCAAACATCTCTTAGCTCTCTCGCGCCGCTCAAAGCAGTGCAGCGGAGCCAATCTTCTGTCAATGCGTTCAACGGATCCGCTATTTTTTCGCCGGCTCGCGAGAACGGTTTCCCTTCAACCACGTTTTTCAGTCTCGTAAAAGGGAAAAATTACCGGCTGCCGAATCTGGCTGAATGAGAAGGTGTATTTCCTCTTCTGAAAAGTGAAAAACGCCTTGAAAGGAACCAATCTTCACTTCCTGCAACAGATGAAGGAAAAAACCCGCCGTTCAACGCCTCGACAGAAGATCAGCTGCAGCAGTCGCTTTCAGAACTGAGAAGCGCGGATGCAACCGTGCACAAACGAAAACTACAGACTACGGTTTACAGGGATACCAATAAAAATATCGTTCCGCTGCTTTCCCAACACTCGTGCGTTTTTTATAAGCGATGCGTTCGCGATGCGTTCTCTCGATTTTTCTAGGTTTCTATCGAATCCCGGGCTGGTTCGTAACCTAACGAACACTGTTATCGATACATCAATTTATGCTCGTGATCGATCCGAAGATCGTACTGTGATCTACAAAGATCAGTTACTGTGCTCACTCCCTGAATACTGAGCCTGAATAACTGTGCACAATAAAAACTTAATATTTAACATACTCTACTACATTTTATTTTCTATAAAAGAAAATATAATATAATATATAATTAATATAATATAATATAGTTAATAATATAGTTAATATAATATAATATAATATCAGAATAAATAGTCATCTGAAAGTTCATATTACTGATTTCATTTTTACATGTTCAATTTTAGCAAATAAATAATCAATTGAATCTAAATAAAAAAATTTAATTTGTCTCATATGAAGTTGTCTCAATATAAAGTTAATTACGCTTGAAAATAAACTAAAGGCACAGTAATTGGCGGCTACCCCACAGTAACTGGCACCACAAGTCCAGTAGTGTTGACGGAACTCAAGCAGCGGAGAAAAGGAGGAGTTGACGATGAGGCATGCGGCTTGCGGCCGAAATAAGTCGGCGAGGCCTGCTCTGCGACATAAATTCACGCAGCGAGAACGACGACCATCAAC